AAAAAGCAAGGCTATGTAAAATTCAATGTAAACGTCAGCTCAGCTTGTATCATTGTGGAAAATTCTACTACCAGTCCTTCATCACCTTAGACGAAATAAGGTGAATACATCTCATTACACTGATTTGGTAGTCTCAAAACTCTACTCTCATACAAACATAAAAGCAAAACCTTACACAACATAGACTATGACCAATGCATTGCCGATTCTATCACCGTGACCGTGCATCCAGTGGCGAAGTAGCTTAATTTTTTATTTAATTAAAATAACAGCTAGTGAAATGTTGCCGCCGAAGGAACTTAGGGAGTCAAGTAAAAAATGTCGGAGTCAATGTTAGGATGTTTCTATTCAATTAAGGAAAACAAGCTATGAAGACCAAGATGTTCTAGCTTTTATTTTGGCCGCAGTCTCCTCTCAATGTATTAAAGTAGCTTACCTTGTTTGCACAATTTGATCGTGTTGTCATGGCGATCGAGTTGGATGCACTTTGTTCGAGGCCTTTTGCTATTGTTGTTAGCCTACTTCCCTGCGTGATACCGTGAACTTGAAACAATATCAGAAGTTTCCCCATCATCGTCAGTGAAGCATGCCAGTCTTAGTACCTCGTTAAAGAAGCAAGTGAAGTCAATCCCTTGAACAACTTCTTGCCGAAACGACTAAGCTACTACCCTTGTTTTCTATCTCACTCCCACCATATCACAATTCCAACTTGTTTATATTCCATTCCTCAAAAGATGTACACTTTTTGCCGAATTTAGCATGGCGTCACGACACCTGCTGTTCACCCCACCTCCCTCCTTTAAATTGGCTAATCCGACCCGAGGTTCCTATCCGGATCTGTCTCGGGGGCCCGAAGCTCCGTTTATTCTAGAAAAACTGGGTTTAGAAAAATCTACTGAAGAAGATAGGCGAATAACTAAGGTGGGACATCAGGACTATTTATAAAGAGTAAATAACACTGTCCTTGGTTTTGCCTTCTTTTCAGGAATACTCTGACCCTCTCTACAGATTGGGCTGTTACAAGGTTTTGTGCTCATGCGGTAGTGCCTATGAGGGAGAGCCCTGTAGACCAAAACCTAAGAGGTTATTTGAAAACAAAACGGCTTGCAAAGGTGTGTTGGTCCGAAAATAGGGATTGGCCGAACACATGGTTTGCACAGGGCACCAGGCAGATTAGTCTGACAAAAGTTAGGCAAGATATTAGGACTATGACAGTAAACAAAAGACTAGGGAAGCGATAGAAATCAACAAAACAGCCAACACTCTGAGCAGAAGGAATGGTTCTAGGAATTTAAATGGAAACTATTCGTGGATGTTGGATAGGATTAGAGAGAGGAGGAACGAGAAGTATTACCGAATATGAAGAGGCTTGATTAGGTTCGATTCTGCTTTAAACTTTCACATCACACTAATTTCAGGAGCAATGTATTCACACAACACGCGTGAAATAGAGCGCAAGAGAGGATTGAATAGAAGAGAAGAGAAGAGAAAAGAAAAGAAAAGAAAGAAGAGAAGAGAAGAGAAGAGAAGAGCACTTCAAAATTCGATCTGAACAGAATATCCAATCAGCTGATTTCGCTTAACCAGTCGTTGTTTGCTTTACTGAAACTTTCTAATTGATGCTTTCCCTGAGGCTATTTCCTTTGATTGATTTAAAATGTGTTAAGCTTTCTTTCCTATTACGACGGATGCCATCAGAATAGAGCATCCCTATTGTAACCACATTCAAGCCAAATAGTAAAGTGTATCTATCTTCTGTATATATTCCTATATAAGCATTCTATTAAGGTATAAAGTGCATATCACTGTTCCATATTGCGCGTGCTTATATTCCTTCTCGTTTAAGTATTTCAACGAAGCCTACAGTGATTGCTTAAATAATTCGAAGAAAACCATAGTTATAATACAAAGATCGATATTGTATAATCAATGATTATTAGGAGAATGAATTTAG